CAAAACTGCCTTGTGTGCGGTGCTACTTTGGGGAAAGGACAGACAGTAGCCGTGAGAGAGCAGGAGACTAGCGGAAGGGCTTCCCCGACGCGAAGGCTGTTTGCCGACCCGTTCTGACTGAAAGTCCTTGCAGCTTGTTTTCTCTTTTCTCTGACAAACCCCCATCTCTGCTCGCTGCACTCTCCCCGCACTCCCTGTACGCTCTTCTCCCAGAACAGCTGCTCCTCTAGCCCAGCAGCGATGCTCCAGGAAGGTGCTCATGGCTGACAGCCTCGGAAGGATGAGCAGACCCTCTGGAGTTTCCCTGTGGTGCCCGGTGGCCTCATCAAGATGAGGAAGAGGGCAGCGCCCAGAAGACGCCCTGATGGCTGTTGCCTTTCTGTTCCAGCCGGGTTTTCTATAAAACCTCAGGACACCAGCCCCAGGATGGATTTGAGACAGGAAGGAAGGGGTCAGGGCAGGGCGTTCAAGGACTGACGCAGCAGTTAGCACCAAAGCTATGGAAGGGTCCGCTCCCGGCAGACCTTGGGGCCCAGGGTGATGGAGATTCGACTCCTTACGGACCTGGAGCTTCATTATACACTCACTGCAGTGTATCAGCATGGTAAACGGCCCTCCCACGGGGGCCAGGGCAGTTTCGAAGCTGACTATAAAGGCTCAAAAAGTGGGTGATGGCCCAATTCCTGGGAATCCCAGCCCCTCCCTCAGAGTGGTTGGATTAATCCTCCCACTTGTCAGCCTAAGAAGGTACCAGCCCCTAAAAGCTAGCAACCCCTACATCTCATGGCCACTCTCCCTTCTGAGGGAGCCAGGCCACAGTCTGTCTGAAGAGTGTGCATCTACCGAGCACCCAACCCCCACACCTCGTGGCCTTTCTCTTGCTTCTGAAACAGCCTGCACTCTGAAGTCCGCATCCCTCTAAATAAATCTGCCTTCACTCAACTGTGGCTCCCTCTTGAATTCTTTCCTGCGTGAAGCCAAGGACCCACACTCAGCGGGGCACGTCCCAGGGGCTCAGCCGAGACCTGGGACACGGTACCCCTCTTGCCCACATTCGTTTTTCCTGTGTCAGATTCGCAGCCTCTGAGGCACGAGCCTGCTGTGACCCCCTTTGCAGGCAAAGCAGTAAAGCTGTTCTCTTCTAACTCTGCCCAGGCTCTGCCTCCGAGTCTCAACTTGGCCGTAGGGTACAGAGGCCAGTTTTCCAGCAACAGCAGTGACAGTAACAGGAAAGGAGAACCAGTCCCCTCTGGGGAAGGGCGAATCTGGGTTCCTGAGTTGTCACACTGTTTTAAAAGCCCAGTTTTTATCCGAAGAAGTATGAGAGGTGCAAATAAACAAGAAACTATGGCCCACACACAGGAAAAGAACGGAGTCAATAGAAGTTGTGCCTGAGGAAGCCCAGACGTTGTAATTACTAGAAAAATACTCTAAATCAGCCAACAGAGTCTGTTCAAAGAACTAAAGGAAACCGTACCAACCAACAGAGAAGTGCACGAGCATGTGTCTCACCAAGTAGAAACCCCTGAAAAGGACCAAGCAGAAGCCCCAGAGCAGAGAGCGCCGCGAAGAGAAGGAAGAAGGAAGGAGGGAGGGAAGGCACGAGGAGGAACAGGAACTGGCCGCGCTGAGGCTGTCCAATTCCTGGCCTCACACTTGCTGTTTGCTTCTAGAACGGTCAGTAAATCTGACTGACAGGACACTGTCCCCAGCCCCAGGCCCACTGTTACAATTAGAGCTAGAGCTGGAGTTGCTGGTTTTCCTGTTTGTTTACCTCACTCTGGCAACTGGAACTGACAATCGTGTTTGGATTCTGAGTCATTCCCCTGCAACGGGGGTCACTAGACAACAACCTCAGGAGAGTGACCAGACCTTCCGAAGCCCCTCCTGGGGCCTAATGAGTCTGATCACATAGAGAAGGTCACGGGCTGATGACACTCCAGACCCCCGGACGGTCCCACGATGCTGGACAGACTCGCCAAGATTCGGGAGGGAGCTTCACCAGAGACTCCTGTGGACTGCCGCCCCCGCTCACTCTCCAGTTTGTCCACTATGCAATCACTAAGCCCCACCCCGAGACGGCTCACAGCTCTGAAGACGCCAGCCTGCCATGAGTCCCCTCTGCCCAGCAAAGTGACACAGCTGCCTCTTTTCTCCCAAGCTCCAAGACCTTGTCTCTGGGCTACCTGGCTCGTCAGGGACAGGGGCCGGACTTTCAGCAACAGGCAGAGGCAGGCAGGCAGGCAGAGACACCGAGGGACTCAGCGAAGGAGGTGCCAGTGGACTTCAGACCACTCCCCTGAGGAAAGCGCTGAAGCAGCCAGCAAGAAGCTAGCAAAGAGTCACCCCCAGCGACAGCGCGTCTCCAAAAAGCATCTGACACGCAAATAATGGGTGTCCCAGGACGGGAGGGGGGACGGGAGGGGGTCGGAAGTGCTCGCTGAAGAAGTAAGGGCCGAGAACCACCCAAGTGTGGTCAAAAGTTTAATGCACGCACCCCAGAAGGTCAACAACTCCCCGAAGGGTAGACGCAGAGACCCAGCCTGGATGCTGGCCCCCGCGCTCATCACCGAAAGACCCCTATTTTGGGAGGAAACCCAGAGGCCAAGGATGGAGGTTCTTCCAGGACCTTCCAGGACCAAGTGACATCACGGTCACCCCTCAGTGCCCGGCGGTTCTAAGCCCCACACGCTGGCGGCGTCACACCCATGGGAAGCACAGGCGGTCCGTGCAGTGCTTTCTTCAGGGCTTCTGATGATAAGGCTGGCCGGTAGGTTTCTGTCCTCAGCAGGCAGGGAAGCGAATGCCCCCGGGCTCACAGGCAGTCCCTGCTACCTCTCACAGGTCTGGGGAGCTGCGCCCCGGTGAGATAAATTCTTCTGCAGACTCGGCTCTGCTACAGCACGAAGGTGATCTGCTTCCCTTCCCCAGACCTCTTCCCAAGAGCCAGCCTCCACCTGTTAGAGCTTTTGGCCTTGAAGGGACATAAGTCTCCAAGGAAAAACTGCAGTCACTCAAACTCAGGATGGATATTTAGGGCACCTGATCTCAGAACAAAGATGACATTTGGATCCAGGTAGACTTCACTGCATCCTGAGCTTTCCCAAACCTAAAGCTAAGCCCCAATTATGAGGTTTTCTCTGGCCAGCTGGCTACTGTCGAAACTGGATCCCAAATTCCTCTCTCACGGCCCAGCCCCTAGGTGCTTCATTACCAAGGAGCAAATGCCCTCGCTAGGGTTTTGCCCAGGGCAAACCCACCAGCCTTCTCACCGGTAGTCGTATGCCTTTGGGTAGCCCGTGACCTGGGGATGCTTATGGAAGCAGCGAGGTTTTCTTACCTCTAATGGGGAAAAGATTAAAAATGGCTCGTGTCCAACATCTACGAGTACTCTCGCCAGCTGCCTTGGCCGTTATCAAGGTCCCTGCATTCCGAGCTTGACTCCCTAGAGGCTGCTGGGCTGGGGACGTTCCCTCTACCCCTCTGGAGTTTTTGTAGCTGGACTAATAATAGAATTAATAGAAGAGACAAATTTTAACTCATGAGCACTGGAGTCTCACAGAAATGAGATCTAAGAAGTGGCTAAGGCAGGAAGCTTTTATACTTATTAGACAAACAGTAAATTTGTGAGGGACTCACAGGACAAAGAAACTTAGGTTTTGGGTGCTTAATTAGTGAAGAATCTAAACAGAGTTTGGGCTTCTGACAATACTGTACAGCACAGGGAAATGTAGTCAAGATCTTGTAGTAGCTCACGGTGAAAAAGAATACGAAAATGAATATATGCATATTCACATACGGCTGGAAAACTGTGCTGCACACCAGAAACTGACACAACATTGTAGACTGACAGTAAGTCAGTTAAAAGCAAACAAACAAAGAAACAAACAATGTCCTACTTGCAGATGCAGGGAGGGCACCTTTCACATGAGGACTTTACTCCCTGCTTGGAACAGAGAAGAGGGTCAGCGCCCCTCTTGCAACAGCTGTGTCTGAGGCAACTTTAATTCACGATGCTCAGTATGCCACTGGGTGGCCTGCCCAGGGCCCCACCAGGGCTAAAGGAAAACACCTTGCTGGTGTTTCCACCAGAAGAGCTGTTCTCCAAGGAAAACAGTAGCTGAGCCTCTGTCGTGGTCCCAAAGGATGTTCCTCTGGATACCAACGTGGAGAAGTTGACTGAAGATGCCCGACATGTGCCCCTGGGAAAGGAAAAGCAATATCAGAAACCTGACAGCTGTTGGCTCAGTGGAGAAAGAGAAACTCTGGTTTGGGCCAAACGACAGCCTGGTCTTCCCAGAAGTCCTGCAGTTCCTACTCCTGACCTGTGTCCGTGCACTGAGCCGCTGGTCCATGAGAAGATGACAACCTTCGTGAACCAGTATCAGTGGGAAATGCTAATAAGTCTGAAAAGAGCACCTGCCTCATTTGTCCAAAATGTGACCCAGGTAAGCCTGTTCACACTGTTCCTCAACATTCTAAACTGTCTAGAACGGGCCATTCAAGGTGTGGCAAGTGGATTTCACACAGCTGCCCCATCTCTCAGATGCAAACATGTTTGCATTGTGGTCTGTATGTTTTCTCAACGGACTGAATCCCTTGTAGACAGCCCACAGCATCGTACCTTACAACCTGGAGGTTTTGTCTATTGGAAAAGACATCCCCAGAAAGACTCATCCACCTGTGTGGAGAGGCTGCTGTCAGGTACTGCTGACCAAACATTATGCCACCAAACTCCAGGGACGGGCTCCTGGCATCAGGTGACACGTAAATAAAGCACCAATCCCCAAGTGGACCTGCCCACCATCCAGGGACCTGAAGGTAAAGATCTCCCAGATGGAAGCAGACGGCATCTGACCAGATACCTTCCCAAAATGTCCCGGCCAGGCCTGTGCACCCCTTTCTCAGTGTTGCTTCTTACTTTACTCTCTCCCTCTCTTTCATGGAAAAGCAATGTCCTTACCTGCATTTCCCAATCCCTTGCAAAAAGACTGTTGGATTTGCCATCAGAAACCTTGATCTATCAAAGACAGCCACGACCACTTAGCTGACCCTGTAAGGAATTTTGCCGGAATTCCAAGTGCCTCTTTATGTCTAAATTGTTCTGAGGATTTCTCGGAAAGGAGCAGATGCACTGATCTTGGTAACTCAAGTTGTTAACACAGACAGGGCCCTGGCAGAAATACTGAGCCCTGAGCCATCTGAAAAACAGTCCGGCAGCAACTGAAAAGGAGTCACCGTGTGACCCAGCACGTCCACGCCTAGGTATATTCACCAGAGAAACGAAAACGTGTCCACGCAGAGCTGTACACGGCTGTCGTCAACTGTGCTAATAAAACCGCCAGTTACTTCACCAGCAAAGGCGGGCTCACTCAGGAATAGCAGAGGAACGGCAATTCTGGACCTGCGAACCGCGCTGGGCCACAGGCGAACCCAGAGACCAAGGGAGGGAACTTGCCTTTACAGGGAGAAGGGGGAGCTGCAGGAGCCGGGAGCCCAGAGTACGGAGGCTCCCCGTGGGCGGGGCCGCTGCAGGCCTGGATTGGCTGGGCTGTCCTGGGGCGCAGAGGCATTTCCTTCTTCCTGATTGGTTGTAGGTAGAGGTGCCTTCCTGCAGAGGCATAGGGGACTCTTTTTCTCTTTGCAGTAATTGAGGATGCGTGGCAGGTGTGAGAGCTCCCCTTACAGGGCTGTCCTGACCCCAACTGTGGCCTAATTTCCTTAATTCCACATTTTCCCCTTTTGATGAAGATCCTACCTCAGGAGGATCACCAGTCAAGAGTCAGGGCCTGTGCATGCAGTGGTTTTGTCCCTCAGTGCCAGGAAGGACCTTTTCTGGTCATCATGTCCCATGTCAGAGGCAGAGCACGTAAATCAGAAACCTCATGAGGCAGCATTTGAGTAGCAAGCAAAGGTAGTAGGGAGAACCCTCAGGAATTTCTTCTTAAAAGTCCATATTTAGGTAAACGGTTGTAAGTGCTAGAAATTACTTCAAAGCAGTGAGTTAGCGCCGCGATCGCATTAGGTATGTCATTTTCCCAAAGATTTGACAAATAGTAGGTGCAGTATACTGCAGAATCAGTGTACAGAGCAGAATTAAAAACAACATAGTAAACCCAGTTTCCAAAATGGTGCTAAGCCAGGAGTCCAGCCCTGAAGGTATCCAGCTGAATAAATAAAAAGACAGTGGGTTGTCAGGTGCAATTTGCTGCAGCCAATGTGCTTGCTCTAATTTTATGTAACTGGGTCTCTCCTCCCCAGAGGCATCTGTCCACGTGTAGCAATAGGC